TCATTTCTCTACACAGAGCTAATGGCTGAAGAAAATCCATTTGATCAACCCAGGATAGTTGGGAGTTGGGACATTACGGCTTGCTTTCATTGTTTGTCGCTTTGGTTGTCTCAGAGGTGCCTGACATCAATCTCTCTGTCAACTACACCATAAATAGGCAAGCAAAACCGTGAGCGAGCTACATCATTAATCTTATCCGTCCATCTAATATCTAGAAAGAGAAAGAATAAATATATGGAAGAGATTGATCGAACTACAAAAGAAGAAAACTTGACCAAGCATAGCAGTTGCACAATATCTTACAAAGAGTTGCCTCATAGTACCTTATGAAAAGTAACAATTACTCAACACTAGATGACAAATGATACATGGTAAGCATTATAAATCTTTTTTTTTTCAGATGCAACTTCATTGCAGATTTAGTAGTGTCCAACTGAATAAGAATGCTGCTTACATGTTTTGCTACACCCAGAAGAAATTATCACCTTTGAAACTATTGATGGTGCCATACAGTCCAGAAACAAGTGTTCACCTGTAACAACAACAAGCAAAGGTCAAAACTGAAATATATAACCATTTTTTGCCAGATAAAATTGCTCTGCTAAATATGATATAAGGAAAATATATCATGTTCCCTCTGCTTAAGACCAGGGTTCGTCATTTCAGGTACTGGACCTGTATTGAAGATTTGTTGGGTCGGTACATACCGATGTACCAACACATGGTACGATGGGGCATGCCAACAAAGACTCGGGTGATCCACGTCTCAAACGCTAGTCGAACTGGTCCATACAGTTTGTACCGTACCGACTCGGGCAGTACAATAAACATTGCTTAAGACAATATAGTGGTTTACACGAGAAAATAATCAAAGAAAGTGTTGCCCACAAACAAAACCGAAAATCTCTATTGAGTACCAAATGTTGTTAATGGTCATATGCTCAAAAGTATCCACTAGTCACTCAATAGATATCAAAACAGATTTAAACTAGATATATCTATTTGATTTTTCTTATACTTTTCTAAACATAGTCTTCTTCTGCAAGAAATGATAGTTATGTATAAAAACATTGTTGTAAAAGTATAAGCAAATAAGTCGATGAGGCTATTTAATGATAGCTAACAAAGTTAAAAACCAAGTTTCTCATTTCATTGATATAGAAAAACAAAGAATTTATACCAAAGTTTTAAAATGATGTCACCGCTATTCTATTTCAGCAAAATTAATGCACTATTGGAGCTTTGAGCATGAAAATTGAAAAGGATAAGAGATTTTATTTTAGAACTTGTATCAGTATGTAGTATTATGTGTTATTATTTAAGGGTCAAAAAGCTTGCTCTGACTATCCCAAAAGAAAATGGTAATTTCTATCATTTTTGTTTACAAAAGATTTCAGTAAAAGAATTAATAGTTTCACATGTTTTCCTATTGAAGAAAAACTAAGGCTTTCAGAAAATAATAAAGTGTATGCCACAAAACCTCCCAAGAAAAAGCAAAAGGCAATCTGAGTATCTTAAAAATTCTGTCCCGCTGGTAAACAAATAGAACTTACAAACCAAGAAATTAGATCTTGGATAACAAACCTCATTCTAGACAACTCAGTCCGTATGTCAATATGGTAAAGTATAATACAGACTGTCACTAGAAAAATTAAAAGAACTAGTAGTTAAAGTATACAAAAAAATTGTATTGCCAAGATGAGAATGTTAAGATGGATGTGTGGAGTTACTGGGAAAGATAGAAAAAGAAATACTTTTATTCGTAAACTAGATATCACTTCGATACAAGATAACATGAGAGAAAATCATTTAAGATGATATAAGCATGTACCTATAAGACCTCCAGGTGCGATAGTTAAAAGAGGTGAAATGATTAATGTTAGTGGTATAAGGTAAGGTAGAGGAATGCTTAAAAAGACCTTACTAGAAACTATAAATAAAGATTTTAAATACTTTGAATCTAATTAAGCATATGACTTTTCACAGATCTCAATGGCAGCAAAAAAATCCATATAGCTAACCTCAAATAGTTGAGACTTACAGATTTGTTATTGTTGTAGTAATTGAGGTATCTATATATCACAATACAGTAGACCATATGGTGCAGTAGTGCATGGTATGGTTGGCATGCTCGGTGTACAACAAAAAGTGAAGCCAAAGCTCATAAAGATGTGTTCCTAGCCTAGACAATTAAACATAACCTAAAACTAAGTTCCAGATGCAAAGAACATAAAGTACATAAACTAAACAAACTTAGTTGAAAGTAACTGAACTCCTACTGGTCCACTAGTTCCTTTACAAAGACTAAGAATGCAACAAGAGTAAAGTTAAACAATGTCTACTAAGAGACAGATGAACACATCCCTGCAGCAAAAAAGGGGTAAAACTTAAAGCTTTGATGAACAAATCTTTCTTCCTCAAAAAGTAATCGGTTCCCAAAAGGGCAAAAAGTACCAAATTGCATAAAAACACTGCATTCAGCTCTTTTAGTAAAAGTAAAAGCGTAGAGATGAAATGGTACTCAAGTGCTTCATGCCATCAAGCATGAAGCACGTGTGCGCGAACACACACAAAAACTTAGCAATGAGCAACAACTAATTTATGAACTTGAGAAATTAATGTAGTAAAAAAACAACTGTTTTATGAAAGACTGCATGATATCTGATATACCCTACTTATATAAACTTGCATAAATCTAATGTAAAATGGCATTGTTTAATGAAGATGATAAGATGTATAAAGTCATAAACAAACGCTAAAGTCTATCAGAGTTAAGAATGTGATCAAATTCTTGATATTTTCACTATTGCAATGGCCAATAGAAATACTAAGGATCAAGGTGACAGTGAGATGTATTTCCCTTTTTGTGATAGCAACCAAGTAAAAAAATTGAACATCTCATGCTACACCAATGCTTTTGATGAAACTGCAAGAAGACACTACCTCTCCTTTGCTTCAACCCGGGCAATGGCTTCTGAGTGGAAAACCATTGGGAATCCAACTTCTCGAGACCCTTGACTTCAAAACTAAAATTATCGAGCAAGAACGAGGAGGCTTTATTGCTCCAATTCCCTCCATCAGTATATCCATTTGAAACTTTAGGGGAACAAATCTCAACAGTAGCAGTTACCAAATCGCCAGGCCTGTATATTTCTTTGTCGAGCAGGATACTCAGAGAAGGAGCAACATCTTGTTTACTGGACAAGTCGGCCTTTTTCTCATCGAACCATCCAGTACTTCTAAAGAAGGAAAACCCGCTCTGTGACATCTCCAACGTCCAAGGATGCCCATTCAATTTGGTGACTTCTCTTCATAAGTGAGCAGCATCATGAATTATAACTCTTTTCAACTAAACTGCCAAATATCAAAGCCCAAGTTACGATGATGATGAATTCAATCCTAGCATAAGAAGTTAAGAGAGAGTTAGAAGAGCATCGTGAACTACAGTGCGACTAAATGCTACTGCATAAAATGCAGCAAAATACAACGACGACTATCAATTTTCTATCAGAAAACTGGCAGAAAAAGAAAAGGACAGAACCCTAGATCCAAGAATCGCGTCGAGAGAAAAATTTGCAGCAGAAGTAACATCAAATCGAGACTTCGGTATATGGTGGGATTTTGGATCGAATTCGCTTCGAACCAACAGAGATCGACGAAATCAAACCATGACATCCCCTTACCACTCCAAGACGCGTGAACCGGGCGAGCAAGCCGCAGAAATTATCGGAGCAATACGGCCAATCTATACTCCAAACGGCGAGAGGCACGAAATACACGGGTGTGCGGTCGGATCGGAGTGAGATCGGGCTTGAACAAATCGACCCTAGGGTTTCAAGAAGAGAAAAGGACAAAGAGTGAATCAGATCAGGAAGTTAACCACAGGGTTAAGCGAAAACCGAGGCAAGGATCGGATCGAGATGTCACCCGCCCAAAGATCCAAAGATCTGAAGAGGAAGCCAGCAGCGATTGCAGTCCAATTACCGTATATCTTCTCTTCTTCTCGGGGATCTTCTTCCTCCAGTGGCCGAGATCTCGCTGATGGACGATGTTATTGCAAACCACGGTCCTCGTCGGGCTACGGTGACCCACCGGTGAGCAACACGGCGAGAGACCCTTAGAATATTAATAAGCTTCAATATCAATGATCGATTTTGACTGCCATGAATGACAGGAAAATATGTATGTATGTATGAATATATATATATATATATATATATATATATATATATATATATATATATATATATATGCATATAAATTTACTATTCAAAATTGTTTGCTACTAATAATTAGTTAAAAAAATAAAAAAAAATTATTTATTATTTATAATCTTAATATTATCGATTTTATTTTCTTTTTCTTCCTCGTAATGCATTATTTTATCAACGTTAGAAGAGGAGGAAGAAGGAAGTATTTGGTGTATTTATAAAAGATTAGTTTATCAATATTAAAATATAATTATAAACAATAAAAAGTGAATTACAAATATTAATCCCCGTATGCATATTGTGAAAAATATACAAAATTATCTCATCATATCCTAGTCATTTTTGGTGCCGCTGATGATAAAAGAATGCCATGATCAAGCTAAATGAGCATATTATGATTCATGAGGATGCCTATATATTAACATTTCATGTTTGATTTAAATAGTTACGGTAAAGAATATTTTGCTCACCTGATTTAAATCTTCTTCGTGTTATTTTATCCAAATGTGAATGTTTAATATTAGAAAAACATTCTAACGTTATGCTGTGATTCATGATGATATATCATTTTGATCGATTTGGTATATCATTTTCGAAAACATCAACTAATAAAAGTAACTTGAACGTAATTCTACATGCTACAGCTATCGCACCAGGGAAGCTGTAGGATCACCGAGAACATCTCTGGTCATCAAGAATGCTGGTATCTCCCATGGGTGTTCAAGGCCAATCCTATCTTCGTAATCCAAATACAATAATGAGGCAGTCAGACACGGAAGACTATGCACCAAATAGAAGGTCACTGCAAAGTCACCTTTTAATCACAATCAAATAGAGACAGTACAAAATGATTCCGATATCACAGGATTTTATCACCATATCATTAACAGCTGAAACCAGGCAGATATGGATCCAAGAGAAACCAGAAAACGAGCGGAGTCTAAATTTAATCAACAAGATTCAGGAAAACTACCGAAGCAAAGTACCAGTAAAATTACCCCGAGTCATTAACCGCACTGATGCTCGGAAAAGTGTCTTTTAGGAATCCATCAGATCCTAAGGAAATGACATAACCACTGCTGGTGTTTTAATCTCACCCGGAAGCCCTGCGCAGCTCACTTTCCCCATGTGCGAAGTGGCACCGATCACCGAAAGAGCAAGACCCTTTTCCAAAGTTTTCACACAACTTAGTCTTGTAGTTGCTCCGAGAGCCTGTTGTGGCTGCAGGAGCCGAATTCCTGGCTGGCAGCCCAGTGGTAGCACTAATGTTAACGATTAGCTCTCTCACCATTGCACTCGCCCGATTAATCTGATCAAACGATCCCTCCAGCTCAATGTTCTTCAGGTTAGGGTCTGACTCATGCTCCCGTATCGACAGCTTTGCACCAGTCAGGCGGCAAATCTGCTTGGTATTGACTCCACCCTTCCCAATGATGGCACCAGAAAGAGATGCATCCACACTGATCTTTGCAGTGGCAGAAACTCCAAAGCTAGCAGCAGCACCCACAGTAGAAGGGGGAACTGGCTCATATCGACGAACTGGCTCATATCGACCTCCCGGTCTTCCTCCCATTGGAGGTGCCATTGGACCATCAGTGGATGATACCTTTGGTTTGCCAAGCTCCTGCTCTCCATGGGCAAAATTGCATCTGTCTCCAAATTTACAACCTTCTGCTGTGTTGTATTTGTTACATAAGCGGGTCTTCACAGCAGGCGCAGGAGCACCATCATGAATGGCAGAAAGGGCTGCTGGGTTCCTCACAGGAGGTGCAAGTGCTGGATTGCCTAGGTTGTTCATCTGGGCAACGGCCTGAAGGCCACCAGGAACATAATGGAGAAAATGGCAACCCTCTCCAAATGGGCAACCAGCAGTGCTGCAGAGCAGTACCAGGACCACTATCAGACAACATATTTGCATATAAAGAAACTAACTGCCCAAAAACATAAAAATAAAGAAAGAAAACATCTCTCTTACTAGATGAGATTTGCATACAAAATTACAACACACATCGCCACAAAGAGAACATACGTAGAAGTAAAGATTAAAAAACAAAATCAATACTTCTACCAAATAAATAAAACTATAACTTAAAGTTAGATGAGTGGGTCAATAGAGGCAGCTCCATATTACTCCACACAAGTCAATGGAGAAATCCTCCTAGAAAGTCGACTCCAAAGCTATAAGACGTAAGAACTAAAAATACAAAGAACATAGGTCAATGAACCATCGCATAAACACATTGATAATTCACGAAACACACGAGACAGTAAAAGCATATCTACATTATACCCATTACTTTTAGTAATACCATAATTTACAAAACGTTACCATGTGGAATAAATCAGAGTTTAGCATGACCAATAAAAGAGTATCATCAATGGGGTGAACTGATGCAACAGAGGACAGTCACAAAAGATATTACCAATCACCTCAGGCAACCCCCATTACCACCATTATAGTTCTGACAAAATTTTCATCACATGGCATCACCAACCGTCATCACCTCTCAATAGTCAACAATTACGCCTTGTGAAAACCCTAATCATCGACGTTTACTTAGCCAACTATATGCCAATTTCTTGCACACAAGTCATTCTATCAATAAAAAATTTTAACAAAAGAAAATTAAATTTTAATTTCATGCTTTTCCTTCATCTGCTTAATTAACAAAATTGCTTGTCATATATTATAATAATAAGGAAGATGATAAGCTACTATAATTTATTTGCTTAAATGAGTCAACCACCAACAATGCCATCTTCAGTGGAGGACAGTGGTGTGCATGTATAAATTTCCCATGGCAAAGTTTTTAGCAAGATGATCTAATAAAAATGTCAGATGTAGTTTTTTGAGTTTTAGATTTAGACTCATGTTTCCATATTAATAACCAAGTCTATCTTAATTGGCAACGAACACCACAGAACAACATGTACAGATTGACAGCAACATTATCAAAAAACCCCACATACAAAGAGAAAAAGAAAAAGTCCACTACACCATAGATTAGCTGCCATATTTCCTCTGTATTATGAAGGAAGCTTCATATCAATTTTCAATATATTTTCAGGTATTTTCTCCCAATACTATTATATTGTAGCCTAATTTAAATAAGAATATATGCCTTTACACAACACTTAAAACTCAGATCTCAATGAGTTATTTCAGATGTCTTTAAAAAAAGGTTTCCTACCACCAGTTCCTAATGGTCCTCAAGGTTGATGTTAATGCCAGTAATTGTTTAAATGGAATAAATACTTTCAATAATTTACCAGCAATTTTACATGAGTGTTAGTCAAGTTCAAACATAATTCAAATTTCCCAAATGACATAATATCTGAAGGAGAAAGTCTAGCATTGTTTAATCATTACTAGTCACGCAATTTACTTTTTGTTTAAGTCAGCATCTTCCATTGATGTGAATCATTATATAAAAAAGTGATTTGAAATTCAGTATCTAATATCATAGTAAACCAGTATAGTGACTGAATTAGGTGATTACATTCTTCAAGGAAAAGCTACAAATAAATTATTACAACATCATCTACCCATAGCTGCAACGATTGTGCGCTTAGGGTTCAAATATGAGTATCCTTAACATTTAGTTTAGATATGCTTCAAGTATGTAAACCACGAATGGCAAGTGGAGATGACTGTTTATTTCCAAAGTGATAATTAATAGAAAATGAGGTATAAGGAACTCTCTAACACAAGACATGCAGAGGAAAGGGTAAAAGGAAAGTGATACAAACATGGGTAACCAGGTCTGTCGTTATGCCCGGAGGTAGATGATACAATCTCTAATTCCAAAGGTGAATGTTAACTACTTGTTCATAAAAATGAGATAAACATTGTAAACAAATTTCTCAACAATTTACATATTTGCCATTCAAATTAATCTTAGGTTTGTACTGGAAATAAGAAACAGTAACAAACAATGTATAAAAACATGGTCTTACTTCCAATATAATTCTGTTTCCCACAACCAAAGAACTAATCCAATTAGATAAATCAATTTTTGATAGAAATAAACAGATAAGGCAAAGAGAAAACAGGCGAAATATATACAAGTAACCGGATAATTGGATGTGACCAGCCATATCAATCAAATCATTAAAATATTTATCTTCCATATAGTTGCTATGAAGTTGTTCATCACTTGAGAATTGCGAAACATGCTCTTCTTGTGAACTCCAATTTACTCTGTTCAGTGTTATTAACAAGCTTAGAGCACATAAACCTGTACAAAAAATCTTAGATGACCGATAGATTAGCACCAAAAAACAATTTCGTTCCAATTTTCACATAGTTGCAAAAACAAAAGTTGTCATATGATGTGGATTTTAGATAAGTTAGGATTATAACCTGAAAAACTTGGTGCATGGCTTCGATTTGCTTCCTATACCATGTTGGAAAGAGTCCGATTCTGTATGACATTAGTTACATGTTCTCAGTTAAGTTCATCTCATTTACTAATCTTGGTAGTTAAAGTACATACTAAACAGTTTACCACCCTTTGGGGAAAATAGGTATATAGATTGACAACAACAAACTTTTAATTTACATCAGAATTTAAAACACTACTAAAATTCTCACTTGACAAGAAGGCGTCTCAAAGTTATTCAAAATTTTACAATATGAAAATCCGGAAGCAACTGTGTACTACTAAAATCACTGCAGCCAGTAGTTTTGATATAATTATAATTTGATAGCGGCATACAGCAGTTTGATTCAGCTAGTTGCTAGTGAAACTATAAAACAACAAATTCAGATGACCCCTATAATGTCAGAAATTCTCGACAACAGTCGCTCTTAGAACCAGCACTTTCTTTAGTAAAGAATATAATGAAAGAAAGTTATTGAGCTTGCCCAAGCCATAATAATCTGTATCGTCTTTAAGACGTTGAAGAAGCAACGAAAAGGAACATTTACTGACATGGAATTAGAAGATACCAAGCTACATGGCCATGAAATTATATTGTAACTATTCATCAGAAAACAATGTGCACGACAAAAGAAGACACCATGAAGTATCTATTGGCCAGATTTTTCTTTTCTATCAAGTAAGCCAACAAATGCAATCTCACAAACAGAAACAAACTCAAAACAAGCCCTAAACGGAAGACAAAGATATGGTACAATATATCTATACCCATAAGAAGCTAAAGGTGCCGATGCCAGAACAACAACACAGCCGTCTTACAACAACAACATCTGAACACCTTTCCCTCAAAGCAAGTTGTATAAAATGTCAGTAAAAATTGATCAAATACCAAACAGATTAGACGGAAATAGAACCTGCATACCTCCGAACCTATTGAAAAGTGAATATGACATCAAAAACTTGACAAAATCAATGTTCATCAGACCAAAAAAATCATCAACTTTTCAAGCTAAAGCAGAGTAGCCTGCCATGCACAAATAGAATTCAAAAAACAAAGAGAAGAGGAAGAAAAAGCCCAGGAAATTACTTTTTGAACCCTATCTTCTGCTACCAAGACAGAGGCGGCCAAGGTATAAAACAACACCAGGCGAACCTCGAAAAGAAGAAGGAGATGTAGAAAAAGAAGGTGATAGAGGCCAGAAAATCATTTCCTACCTCTTGTCCGCTTCGACGCAGGGCCGCTTCCATTGGCGGCGTCCGGCGGCCCTCTCTTGCGAGACGCTTCCATGGCGCCGGCCACGCGATCTGGATCAGGAGCCGGAGGAAGGACTCGAGCGGAATAAGGGGAGGACCGAGGGACTGAGAAAGATCGGCCGGAACCCTAGTTAGGGTTTGGGCGGGAGAAGAAAACCCGTGCCTCGACAGAACGAGAGAGAGAGAGAGAGAAAGAGAGTCGTGGAGGACAGGCTGTGGCGCAGGACTCGAAGCCTCAGAACTAAATATTCTGACGAGGCATATTGTAGTCCGCGCTGCGATTGGCGATGCCGTGGACACCACATGACATCACGTGCGTAAGAGATGTCACGTGCGGTGGAGTGATGGGCCGAAGGATCATTAAAAACATATATTTATGTGAGATTCCATTACATTCCGATAAATGCATTCTGTCTAAAACTTAACACTGAGCCAATGAAAATTACGGTCATATTATGCAAATGTTTATTTAATAATTTAATAATATTTATCTTTTATAAATATTTTTAGGTGATTTTTCAAAAAAGTTCATCTTTTTATAATTTTTCAGGAAATTATCCTTATTTTTAAAATTCTTAAATCCTAATTATTTTTTTTCTTTTCTTTCCTTTCTTTATTCTGAAGGATTTGATGAATCGATTTACATATAATATTTTCGCAATATGTTACGATATTTTCAGCAATATCCAAAAGAAACACTATAACATACTATGTTATAATATACTATAATATTTTTAATCCTATTGAAAATATTTTAATAGATGATTAAAAAATAAAAATATAATATTTTTATAAAATTTGTAAAAAAAGAAAAAGCTATGTTATAGTGTTTTTATATTATATTATAATATATTTTTAGGTATTGATGAAAATAATATAATAAACAATCTATAAAAAAAAAAAAAGGAAAGTTTGAGAGTCTTCTATATATTGGATAAAATAATATATTATTTGATAATTATAAAAATGAGAGCCGTTTAAAAACATATTTCCTTTAATTCATCTAATATTTTTTTCTTTTGAAAGGAGATTGATGTTACTTAAATAACCTCCCATTAATACATGCACTTGGTTAGTGTTCTATTTCAAAAGGAGATTGATAATACTTGAATAAACTTCCATTAATACATGCACTTGGTTGGTCTTTATTGTATGCCAATGCCACTAATGGGGGATTATATTACCTCCCTTTAAAGATCTTTTGTCTAATTTTAATCAAGAATGAATATGATTTATTGTCATGCTATATTAATATTTATCAAATAATTTATTTTGCAAAAAAATATATTTTTAAAATGATGTTACATTAGTAACCTCCGATTAATTTTGTAAATTTTTTAAGTCATGTTATATTAATATTTATAAAACAATTTAAACTTTTACGTGTAAATTTTTTTTTTTAAAAAAAATATATTACTTTAATAACGTCCGATTAATAACACATGGAGTTGGGCTGATTTTATTGTATCTTAATATTGAAAAAAATAATATAATTAAATATTATTATTTACTATTAATTAAATTTAGGTAAATATATTTTAATAGGATCTCAAGTCCGGATGAAAAAGGTGAAGTGTTATTGATAATTTTAGTAAAACTATGTAAGATATCACGATTTAAATTAATTTTAAGTTTTAATAAGCACATCTATCACACAATAAACATGGGTTATTAATGGAATGTTACTAAAGTAATATCAATAAAGTAGTTCTTTATAAAAATATGTAAAAAGTGAGTTATTTAAAAATTATTAATATAGTATGACCACATTATTAGTTAAATTAAGTCAAATAAATTCAAATATAATATAATAGAATCCCACGTTAGGGGGCCTATGGCTATTAGTGGGATGTTATTAATATAATATTTGATAATTAGAATTATTGAATAATTTATTTTTAATCTAATATTTAGAATATCCATACATTTTTTTTAATAGATCGACTAATATATACTGTATATATCTATTCTAAGTACTAAGTTGAGTTGAAGTACGACGGATCATATAAAAGGAGCGACTATTTGTCTAATGCCAATCGTGTAGTTGGGCATGCTTAACATTATGAATTAGGTTAAGCCTCACTTATAAGTTGGGTTGAGTTTTGTCATTAAACTAGACCTTGCTTGGCTCGCGAGTTAGTCATAAACATACGAGTTGGAGCCGTATCTAATCACATTGATTGGGTCGTACCTATCGCATGAGTTGGCTGATGCATAGCCACATGATTGGATCGTATGCGACTGGATCGTACCTTACCATATGAGTTGGGTTATACATGATCACATGGATTGTATCGTACTTAGCCACATGAGTTGACCCATATCTAATCATATGGTTGGATCATACCTTACCACGTGGGCTGGATCACACATAACCACATGAACTATATCATACTAGGATGAAATAGTCCAATTATTATTATCAATATTTAAAAAAATTACAATGTAATATAAAAATACTATAGCATAGTGTTTTTTTTATAAATTTAAAAAATGTTATGCTTATATTTTTTTAACTCTCTATTAAATTTAACATAGTACAAAAATACTATGTTATAGTATTTATTTTTTCTATGTTACAGTGTTTTTTTATATATTAGTGAAAAAATCATAATATAGTATAAAAAATAATATAAGTAAACTAATTCACCTTATGGACCGATCCATACACAAAAAACAAGAGAAAAAAAAAAGGAATGTTATTGGGTTATTTTAAGTATTATGTAAAAAAGTACTTATTTAAGAATATTAAAAATAAGGATAATTTCCTAGATAAATTAAAATAAGAACTTTTCTAGAAAAATTATTTAAAAATATTTATAAAAGATAAAGCTTATGTATAAATATTATTAAATTATTAAATAAACATTTGCATAATATGAGTGTAATTCTTATTGTCGCATAATTAAGTTTTAGGCAAATATATTTATCAAAGTATAATATAATCTCATAGAGATATGTGTTGTTAATGGCTCTTTAGCCCATCATAATTCACGAAACCCCAGCCACTCGTCTGCACGTGACCTCTCTTACGCACGTGATGTTATGTGGTATTCATTGCTTCACTCACTCTCTCTCTCTCTCTCTCTCGTTCGATCGAGGCTCGACTTTCGTTCTCTCGCCCAAACCCTAACTAGGGTTTCGATCGATCTCTCTCGATCCCTCACTCCTCCCCTTATTCCCCTCAAATCTTTCCTTTGTTCATTCACCTCCTCCGATCCCTAATTCATGTACGATTGCGATGCCATGATACCGCCAATGGAAGCGAAGCTGCCAATGATAGCAATAGGTGAGCTTAGGGTTTGTGGTTGGATTAGGTGGAGCTCAAGCTCGACTCATTTCAAGCTCAATCTTATTTGACGTGACTTCTTTGCTCTAACAATATGTTGGAGAAGATGTTTTTATTATGTATTATTAATGTGTGATGTGTACTCGTAAAATATTTTTGAATATTTGATAAGTAACAAATAAAAGTTATATTTTAAATATCTATTGATGTAAGCATTGTTGGGTAGAATTATATTCCATAGATCGGTTTAATATTACCTAACAAATTTATCTTATAATATTTTTAATATTTATTCAAAAGATATATATATATATATATATATATATATATATTATTGTATAGTATACATATTAAGTAATTAAGAGAATCAATGTCATTAGTGTCATTTCAATAAAAAAATTCTATCATAATTAAAATTTATTTTTATTTGTTGATGGCTCTAATCATAGTTCAATCAGAATTGTAATACACCTAATTCAATTAAACATGATCATATAATCTAACAAAAAATATGAGATATTATTATAAATATTCAATGAACATATATTCCAAATTTACACTATTAAATGACTACGATTACACTTGTATTTGTAATCAACTCAAGTAAGTGTTAGATTGAACTTAAAAATCTCTAAATATTACTAAAAAAATATAGATACACTATTAAGATAGTATTTTTATTTAAAGATATAATAGCTATATTTAGATACACTATTAAAAATCTCTAAATATTACTAAAAAAATATAGATACAAAATTAGTTTTGGTGATTTATTATTATTATTATTTAAAAAATATTTTCAGATAATTTTATTACATAATATTCAATAAAAAAATTAAAATATAATTTAATATATATACTCTAAATAAATATTAAAATATATTAGAAGATAAATTTATTACATAATATTCAACCGATCTTTGAAATATAATTCTACCCAACAATACTTATATCAATACATATTTAAAATATAATTTTCATTAATTACTTATCAAATATTTAAAAATATTTTACAATTACACATCACACATTATGAATACATAACAAAAACATCTTCTCCGAGATATTATTAGCTCAAAGAAGTCACGTCACACAAGATTGAGCTCGAGCTTCCGCCTAATCCAACCACAAACCCTAAGCTCACCTGTTGCTGGCGGCTCTCTCGACCTCTCCGCCGCTGCGACCTGTCGCAGCGCCACTTCGATCTCGTCGAAACCCGCTTCCCAGTCAAACCCGGCGTTGCCGAGTGCGCTGCGCGTCTTTTTCCGGCAGGCGAGAGACCGGTAGCTTCTTTTCTTCTCTTTCTTCGTCGGAATTTCTTGTTATATTTGTCTGGGAATTGGAATGCCGCTGGTCCCTATCTTCTGGCGGAACGTTCTTCGACTTGTGCTTGAAGATGCGGTATAAGATTAGCTTCGACGGATCAGATTCCTCTGCGCGAGATGTTTGGTTCGATGCATTCTGACCCCAATGGAACGGAATGGATGGGGAGGAAATCTACCCTTGCCGGTGTTGTAGGAGAAGCCTTTATGCGCTACGCGAGATCGGATGCAGTGAGATGGAGTTTCTGTGGGTTACATACATATATCGGTCTCGGCATGGAATGTTGGGATAATGACACATTCAAATACTGTGTTTTTTCCTTTTCATTTAATTTGCCTGACACTCTGATGATTGCTTTCATTTCAGTAAATTTGCGCTCCCCGCCTCTAATGTGTGATTCTATCGGTTGGATTTGATTCTTGATCGAAGATTTTTTGGCATTTTGATGCTATTTCACGATTAGGGTCTTAAATTAGGGTTTTTATGCTGCATGGCACGTACTGCACATTGGGATCCAGTTCGTGTATGTGACCTAAGGCCATTATGTTCTATCTTATCTGCTATTGCAAGGATAATGGGAGCATCAGCAGCTGCTGGTTTGCATGTGGT